GGGGTTAGACAGTGATCCAGTTTCATTCTCTTACATGTAGCTGTCCAGTTTTGCCAGTGCCATCTGTTGAAGAGGCTGTCATTTCCCCATTGTATGTCCATGGCTCCTTTATCATATATTAATTGACAATATATGTTTGGGTTAATGTCTGGAGTCTCTATTGTGTTCCACTGGTCTGTGGCTCTGTTCTTGTGCCAGTACCAAATTGTCTTGATTACTGTGGCTTTGTAGTAGAGCTTGAAGTTGGGGAGTGAGGTCTCCCCCACTTTATTCTTCCTTCTCAGGATTGCTTTGGCTATTCGGGGTCTTTGGTGGTTCCATATGAATTTTTGAGCTATTTGTTCCAGTTCATTGAAGAATGCTGTTGCTAATTCGAAAGGGATGCATTGAATATGTAGACTGCTTTGGGCAGGATGGCCATTTTGACAATATTAATTCTTCCCAGCCAAGAGCATGGGATGAGTTTCCATTTGTTAGTGTCCTCTTTAATTTCTCTTAAGAGTGTCTTGTAGTTTTTAGGGTATAGGTCTTTCACTTCTTTTTTTAGGTTTACTCCTAGGTATTTGTGCTTTTTTTTAAACAACATATATTAACTCTTTTAATACAGTAGTCCCCCCCTTATTTCTGAGGGGTATATTCCAAGACCCCCAGTGGATGGTTTAAGGTAGTACCAAATCCTAAATATACTTTTTTCCTATATATACATACCTATGATAAAGCTTACCTTATAAAGTAGACACAGTAAGAGATTAACACCCGACAATAGTAAAATGGAATGATTTATTACAATATACTGTAATGAAAGTTATGTGAATGTGGTCTCTCAAAATATCTTATTGTACTGTACTCACTCTTCTTGCGATGATGCAAGATGATAAATGCTTCAGTGAAGAGATGAAGTGAGGTGAACAGTGTAGGTGTCTGTGAGGTAGCTAAGCCACTATTGACCTTCTCACCCTATGTCAGAAGGAGATCATTTGCTTCTGGTCAGGACTACAGTTGACCTTGGGTAACTGAAACCAGAGAAAGTGAAATCCAAGGTAATGTGGTGCGCACCTCTTTACTCATAACAACCCTATGAAATTCACAGTACTAGTGTCCTCATTTAAAGTGTATGGATACTAAGGTACAGAGTTATTAAATGATTTGTCCCAAGTCAAACAACTAGCGTGATGCTGGTGACACATGGCCCATGGGAATCAAGATTTAAAGGGAGATTTCACACAATACGTCAAAAGTTTTTTTTCTTTAAATCTGTATACTTTTTTTTTAACTATAGCATCCTATCAAACATTAATTAGTCCTCTCAATTACAACTAATTTCCAGTTAAATAGTCCCAGGTTGCTTAAATAATAGCATTCATGTAACAGAAAAACAATCCCGAATGACATAATTTTAGATAAGTACCTATTTTTCACACTTCTATGTTTAAGTAAGAACACATACGTGTATAACAGTTCATTATATTCAACATACTGTTTTTTGAATGGTACGGTTATGGCCCTCTAAATTGGTCTCCCTACGTTGGACTCAGAAGAGGAGGTTTTGAAAATATTCAATTGCACGAGGCCTTCCCCTCGAGGTTCTGACACACTTGAGATTAGCGTTTTTAAATCTTCAGCCGATTCCTTACTAGGCGATTCTTGACGGCGGGGTGGGCGGGAACAGGCGGGAGCGGGCTTATCTGTCACGTGACTGAGTTGGCACAGCCTTCGGCCGTTGATTAGTTCTGCCGGAGAGGCGGGGGCGTGAGCCGAAGGCCGCCTCTCTCTTAACCCGACCAGAGAGTTGCGAAGCCTCCGCCGTTCCTAGAAGGTACGCGGGCGGGGGACGCTCTTCCCTGCCCGCGGGAGTAGAGCCGACGAGAGGCGCTGGGATCTTCCGTGTTCGCTCACTCAGCTGAGGGTTCGCCGAGGGGCGTAGACTGCTTCCCTGTTCCGGGTCGGAACGTCGAGATACTGCCGCAAGGGAACACTGAGGACTTCCTGGAGGAGGCGCCGATCAGGTTTGGGGAGAAAGGAGCTAGCGTGATGGGAGGGGTGGGTGTCGAGGGGAAGCCGCGGTGGCTGCGCCGCTGAAGTTGTCAGGGCTCGAGACACATACACACTGCCTGCGGGGAAAATAATTTACCGAGCGTGTTCCCGAAGGTGTCAGCTTATGCATGTTTTCCAGTCTAAAATAATAAGAAAGAACTAGAGAGTCCAATGAATGAATGGCTGGTTAATACTACGGTTTGGTTTGCGTTTGTCGTAGAGGAAAACGAGATGTGATTTAAAATTTAAGCGGTTCACATCATTGTGAAGTAGCATTTTAGATCCTCACTTCCAAATGCACAGTGTTCACAGTAGATAATATAGTTTGGGTAAAGAAAGTGTCGAGGTCCGTTCCCCTATCTTGGAGCCGTTGATCGGGACATTTTTTTGGAGTGTCTCCTTGCTTAAGAGGCAGAGGGTCTTCCAAACAATGTTTTTGGGGAAGGTGAACCGTGTGTGAGGGGATTTGTTTAAAATGCACTTACATAAACAATTTCACCTGTGCCCAGAAAAGCACAAGAAATATATATGGGTGTGTGTGTGTGTGTGTGTGTGTATGTATGTATGTATATGTATATGTTAAATGTTAGATAATTTTTTGTTTATATAATATAAGATAATTATTTCTTTATAATGTTAAAGAAAAAAGGCCACAGTTTGGGCGTACCCCTAGGCCAACCACCCATAGCTGTGGAACCACAATGTAAACTGTCCTTCTTCATGCCTGGATGACCTTGCGGCTTCCTAGCCAATAAGCTACAAACAAGTAAATTTGTGTAGTGCTACCACAAAAAGAATATAAGTTTCTAGTAACCAGTAGTAACACAAAGCAGAGCATCTCCTCATTCACTTGTAGCAGAGAAAAACAAGTCCATCATCAGTTCTTAGCTAAGACCCCTGCAACCAAAGTCAGAGAGTAAAACAAGTTTACTGCCATGTATACCTGGAAGATACTCAGGGAAAAATAAGTAACTCCTTAGGGGCTTTGAATTCAGGCCTATGTACCATAATAATAGGGAAAGGGGAGGGGAGATCTAGGCCTCTTAGAGCTGAAGAAATGATTTTTAGGAAAGATGAATGGGCCCTTAGAAGGTAGATGGGAGATCTGGTAGTTTGTGACAAAGTTTGTCTGAGTATGGGGTTGATGTCCAGTCTCTTGTGACAAGAGTCAATCATACCTGGTTGATGAAACTCCCCGGGTGTTGGTGGACAATTGAGCACCTTTTGGAGGATCTGTCTTTAGGCAGATGAGGGGAATTGAAAGAAAGCTCCCTGCATTTATTGTTTTTCAAGTGCCTGCAGCTCTAAACAAACAAACAAACAAATAAATAAATAAATATTCCAAAGTATCATATTTTTTGAGTGGCATATTCTGCTAGCCCTCTCATGCTTTACGAACTGAGTGTAACTGCTGAAAGCCCAGCTTCTTAACACTCTGAGTTTCTAAGTCTAATTTGTTTCTTGCTCAATAAAAATATTTGTATCAAGTAAAGCTCTCTGAATTTCCTTTTGACACTAATCACCTCTTTGTATACAATACATAGCTTGAATTCTCTGATGACTGCCCCAAAACATTTTCACACTTTTTGAGCTGATTCTGTATGATGTGAAAATGAATGAAGCCCACCCAAATTAGAACAAAGGTTCTCCTTTCAGAGCCTGCTACAGCAAGGGCGTCAGCCACCATCAGTTGTGTTTGGCAGAGACTCAAAGGCAGGCAGGGGAGAGCTTCATGGTGGGAAAAAGGGGAAAGCTCAGATATGCCCAGTTTGGAGGCTGTTGACTTGGGAAAGCTGGTGGCAGTTTGAATAAATAGAAGCAGGACACCCTGTGTGACTGGATAGAGGAGCATATTTGGCTTCCACTGTTGGTCCTAAATTGGAGGAGGGGCTAAGCCGGCAGTTATTGACCAAGTTCTGATCTGGGGCTCATTGCTGCTTTGACTGGTTTGGATTCCAGACTGGTTGCTGCTGGTAACCAGTTAGTCCCACTTTGATCTCTGATCTGATCTCTTTATATATTTAGTCTTTATATATATGGGGTGCTGCAGAACATGTTCTAGGGAGAAGGGGTGGGGGCAGGGCCATAGGTTCTCTTGGGTCAAGCTTTGGAAACTGAGCTAGCTTCAGAAATTCCTAAAAAGACAGCTCTAGAGGCTCCTTTCATCTTATCACATATTCCGGCAGCAAACACAGTGACTGTGTATTAATTAGCTGGGATTTATTGGCCCCGATGGACTTCTCTGTCCCAGGCCTGCCTGGTAAGAGCTTCAAATTCCAGCTGGCCTCACTCATTATCTTTTTTCTCCTTCAGTCTAGCGTGATGGCTGTGATTCTGCCCCATCTCAGAGACCAGGCTATGGAAGCTATATTCCTGACAGCATGTTGGAAGGTGAGCTGGGTTCCTCCTCCACTTCCTTGGTATAGTCCCTACAGCCAGGTGATGGCCTTAACTTCCCTTGTTCAGGTTGGGCTATCTTTATCCACTTGAGGATTTTTCCTTCATAGAAGGTGTGATGGAAAGAGTTTGATCTCTGGGGTCAGACAAGGGGAGGGAGTCAGGGGACCAGAGATTTGGGGAAAATTCATGTCGGGTGTTTATTCCCATAGCTCCTTCCCTGCTGGGCTGTCTTCCTCTGAGGCCCTACCTCCATTCTTGCTTTCTCTCCAACAACTTTCTGGATTCCAAATACCCCTCTCTGACCTTGCCCTGTAATGGTTCCCCAAGGTAGCCAGCCCCTGCCTGCTTCAACATGCCTTTTTGGTTTTCTTTAAGCCTGTCCATTCCTTTGTGGGTAGTCTGCATGCTAATCTAACCTCAGTGACCTCATTTGAGTGTGCCATTTTTTTCCTAAGGGAACTTGGGGCAGAAGAAATAACACTAAAAGGTAGTGTTATACAGTAAAAGGTAGTGTTATATGGAGCAGGGATCAGCACACTGACCTAGATTTGGTAGGAAGTTTGGAACATCGCCACACTCATTCACTTACCAGTAGTCTCTGGCTGCTTTTGTGCTGCAGTAGCAGAGTTGAATAATTGCAGGAGACACCAAATGGTCTGAGAAGCCTAAAATATTTACCATCCAGCCTTCTAGAGAAAAAGGTTTGTCAACACCATAGTACAGAAGAATGAACGTGTGTGACCTGAGGTCATAAGACCTGAGACCCTGAATCTGTTTATTAATGAGCTTGGTCAAGTCGCCTTCCTTCATCAAACCTCACCTGTGGAATAATACTAATAGCTCACAAGTTACAGTAAGAATGGAAGCTCTAACAAGTCGCTGTGTTTTCAGGAATTGCTGTCCTTTGAGGATGTGGCTGTGTACTTCACCAGAGAAGAGTGGGACAAGCTGGACTGGGCTCAGAAGGACCTCTACAGAGACGTGATGTTGGAGAATTACAGAAACATGATCTTGCTGGGTAATGATTCGGCCTGAGGAAGTGGCTTTGAGGGCTTTGAATGTCTGCACCAGTCCTCAACCCCTTATCTGCAATTCTGAAATCAGTAAAAGCTCTGAAATCTAGAAGTTCTTTCATAGCTTCTTTGGCTACAAGAACCATCCTGAAGTCATAAGGGGTAAAACCTGGTATTGTACATGAAGCTATTTATCATCCTTATTTTTTCCCACATGATCTTTTTATCTATGCAGTTAGCATCAGAAATATCAGTGAGTTTCGTTAAGGGTATAGCTCCAAACCTGTTGCAGTGGTACATAATAGAAAACATGCACACCAAGTCACCTTTCTAAAATCTGGAAAGATTCTGACTCTTGAAACACTTCTGAACTCAAGGGTTTCAAATACGGGATTGTGGATAATGAATAATTAACTTGTTTTAGTGGTTGGAGTTGCTTAATCTGTTTCCCACCCCACTGCATCCTTCACCTCTGTAAGACCTGTAGGAGTTGAAAAGATTATGGGTCCCAAAGGCTAGCTGCTTTCCCTCTTGATAAGTTATTTTTCTTTCTTCTCTCTGCACACCTTGTGTGCAGCATCACCAAGTGCCAGGGAAATGATTCTTAACGGACTTCCATTTCTGAGCCTTTATCACTTTCGTATTCCCAGGGCCTGCCTTTGTCTTACTCCAATGCAGTCTCCTCCTTTGGGCACTTCCTTGATAAATAGTTTTGTTTCTGGAGCCACATGTTTGACCCCCACCCCACAGACACTCTTGGCATAGTCTTGACCCCCCTTTCATGGGATTGCCCATCCACCTCTGGATTTTTGAGGTTTATTTTCATTTTGAAAGCACTGTAAGAGTATACTTGAATGCATGGAAGGTAGAGGAAAGCATGAAGAGGTGAGGTAAACATTCAGGGGTAACAATATCTTTTAAATATTTCCTTCCAGCTTTCTCCCCCTATGCTTTAAAAAAAAACATAGCTGAGCATATGCTTTGTATAATTCTGTAATCCCATTAAAACTTGATGACGATAGTATCAGCATTTTCCCTGTTAAAGTCCCCATCAATATCAAAAGATAGTAGTATAATTCTGTTGTATGAGCCATATTTAATCATTGTTCCATTTTGGGATGCTTGCTTGGCTTTGTTTTTGTTTGTTGATTTGCATGTGTGTTTATCATCTTCTGTATTACAATGTTCCAGTGGATTTCTGACTATAAATCCTTACATGAACATCTGATTATTTCCTAAATGGAATTTGGAGTTAATGGGTATAGACACTTTTTCCTATATATTTCTGAGTGACTTTTAGTAGGAGTTGAAAATAAAAATCATTTGCAGGCCCACTGCCCAGAAGTAACCTGTTAACATTTTGGTGTACTTTTTCCCAGTCTTTTTAATATGTGTATACACACACACATGTAGTTTTTAAAAGCAAAATTTGGATCATACTTTACATGAGGTTTGTATTCTGCTTTCAAATATAAAGGGAGCATTTTTCTATTTTAATAAATATTCTCTGAACACGAGGATTTTAAATATCTGCCTAATACTCTTGCCTTCATTATGTTAACTTGCTATGCTTTAATCTGTCCCCCATTGACATTTTATTTCTATTTTTGCACTATTACAACCGTGCTGAGCATCTCTGGTACATTAATCTTTGTCCTAATTTTTTCTTAAGCTGTGTTTCTAAGAGGGAAATGACCACGTCCAAGAGTGAATACTGTTCAGGCTTTGAGTAAAGATTATCAGATTTTTCACAAAGATAGAGCCGATTTCTATTCCCACCAGCTCTTTTGATTATTATCCTTATCTCTGCTTCCCACCTTAGACCCCAAGGGGTTAACCTGAGCTCAAGAACATCTCTCTGTAACTCACTAACCACATTCCATTTACTTCCCCGAGTAGGATTTCAGTTTCCCAAACCTGAGGTGATCTGTCTGCTGGAGCAGTGGGAGGAGCCATGGATCCTGGACCTGCCAAGAGCTGGGACTAAGAAGGCTTGCTGTAGTGCTTGCCCAGGTGGGTGAGAAGACCCAGTCCAGTGGAAATCATACAAGGAAGGGAAGTCACATTAATGAAGCCCCTTCTGTGCCCAGATACTAAACCAGGTGTTTGGCATATATTTATGATCTCACTTTCTCATCCCTACTGCCTCTGAAGGTAGCAGGCATGACCATCACTTCCATTTTCCAGATGAAGAAATTTAAAGATTAAGATATCTAACCCACAGTAGATTGGGAGCTGGGGTTTGATCTCAAGTCTGCAAAGCCCATTCTCTTTGTGCTGCAGTAAGCACTTCCCTGAAGCAGCTGGTCTGGTGTTTTCTGACAGCTCTTATGCCATCCTGGATATGCCTTTTTTCTACCGTCTTTACTTATCCTTTCTCTACATTTTCTCTTGTTCCCTAGCTTTCATATCCCCTGGGTGTTTCTTTATGTACTTAGCTTTTCCCTATGTACTGTGTTCTTATTGCTGCTCCTATCCTTGTTCATATTCCTCTATACCAAGGCTTCTCAGCTACAGCACCATTCACATTTGGGGCTGGACAATTCTTTGTTGGGGAGCTGTCCTGTGCAGTGTACCCAGTGGCCTCTACCCACTAGCTTCCAGTACCACCACCTGAGTTGTGACAAACACAAATGTTTGTAGACATTGTCCAATGTCCCTTGGGAGGTGAGACCACCCGTGGATGAGAACCACTGCTCTCTTCTGTTGACTTTTGTACCTACTTCCCTCTGGTTCCTTTTCTATTCTTATACTTCCTCCATTTTTAGGAGTTTTTCCCAGAATTTTAAGAAACATACTCATCTAGAAAGTATAAGATGCTACTTCTCCTGCATTTACGTGACAATGCTGAGGACCTAGAATAAGTTATTTTGTCCAGTAATCGTGGTAGATTTGTTCAGTTCTCACATTCTTTGACAGGCTCTTGTACAATTTTTAATTGGTTAGTTGATGTTAAGAACTCTTTCTGTTATGAAAGCTGAAAGTCCCGTGAAAGGCAGAATTTTGGCCTCTTTAGGATGATGATGTAACTAAGTAAGCCCTTACCTTCATTTGGGTGTCATGTTACAAACAGTTGTCCTCTTTCCCTTTTTACCTTATGTAGTGGACAGGCCATTTATATATTGTCTTTCTATTTGGCTAGATTCTGAAGGCAGATACAAGACGAAAACACTAACTCCAAAGCAGAAAATTTCTGAACATTTTGAGTCATGTAAGATATCAGTGGCAAAGCAGGAAATGACCAAGAAACCTTCAGAGAACTTACATAAATTTAATGAATTTGTGGACATTTACAGGTTGGCACTCCCTATTATTGGTGATGAGTACAATGAGAACTTCCTTCAAAACCTTAACTTTATTCAAGATCAGAATGCCCAAGCTCAGAAGAGGCAGGGCAGATTTGATGATTATAGAACACCCTTCAACCAGAGGTCATTGCTCTTGAGACGTAAGCAAATCCTGACAAATGCAATATCTCACAAGTGCAGAGAATGTGGAAGAGCCTTCAGGCGGCAGGCAAATTTTGTTCGACATCAAAGAATTCACACTTCTGAGGATCCCTTTGAATGTGACATCTGTGGGCAAGCCTTCAAACAAAAGTCCATTCTGAGTGTCCATAAGCAGGTTCACCCGCAAAAAAAGCCATATAAATGTCACGACTGTGGAAAATGTTTTCGTCAAATGGCTTATCTTATTGAGCATAAGAGAATCCATACCAAAGAGAAACCCTATAAATGCAGTGAATGTGAAAGAATGTTTAGTCAGAATTCAACCCTGATTCGACATCAGTTAATCCACAGTGGAGAAAAACCCCACAAATGCCTTGAATGTGGAAAAGCCTTTGGTCGGCATTCCACACTAACGAGCCATCAACAAATTCACACCAAACCCAACACTCATAAATGCTGTGAGTGTGGAGAATCCTTTGGTCGGAATGTGGATCTCATTCAGCATCAGAGGACCCATACCAAGGAGGAATTCTTTGAATGCAGAGAATGTGGAAAAACTTTTAGTTTTAAGGCCAATCTTCATCGCCATGAGGTCATTCATACTGGAGAGAGACCCTATAGGTGTGACAAATGTGGGAAGTCTTTCAGTTGGCGCACAAGCTTTATTAAGCATCAGGGCACTCACAGAGAGCAGGTACTTATGTGACAGTAACCAGGAAAGCTACTATTTAAAGACCAGAACTTAACGTAGCAAGTATGTATACCTTGCAATAGTTATTATTTTATGAAATTATAATTACTTTATCACTTTGTGAAAAAATTAACAAACAGGAACTGCAGTGGTTTTTCTAGGGGATCCTCTTTGTAGCTGACTTTCTTGCTGTCATCAAGAAGCACTTAATAGAAAATGTAACAGACTCTTGTGTCCCATCTTCCTTGAGCCCCCCTATCCCTTCATTGCCCCAAGGCCAAAGCAGGATGGAGGCAGAGCAGCTTTGCTCTGTGGACCCCAGGCTGGAGACCATTTGATGGATCATGAATGATTTGAGGATGCTTTTCTTATTTCTCAGTAAAACTGGGGGAAAAAGTTTTTAATAAAAAGTAAAGGTGAAAAAAAATGCTTTTCTTGGTTTCATGTAGAAAAATGCCCTGATATGGCAGAGAATTTTTAAGAATTAAGAGCTACTCACTAGTAACTAGTAAGATGTTGACAATTCACTGACCCATAAATTAAGATCCTGCTAGTGCTCTGGCCTTACCTCTTCTGTGAGCTTCATCTGACTTGCAGTATGTGTGGGGTGAGTAGCTCATTCTGGTCTCAGCCAGTGCTTGATGGGAATTGATAAATACCAAGTTCCCTGCGCTCTTGGGTGGAATAGCTAAGAAGCAGATGTTCTCCAGTTTTCTTGAGTTTTTCCATGGAATTACATTCACTCACTGCAGTAGCTGCTTTATTGTCCATCTTCCCTTCTTTGTATCCCTTCTACAATACCCTGCTGGGGTCTCAGCACCTTGTCCCCCTGCAGGTTAAGTTGCTTGTGCTCAAAGTTTCAACTCTGGTCTTTGAGGAGCCGTATCCTTTTTGTGGCCAGTTATTCCAAGCACATTTTTTACATTTGGGTTATATAGGTTGAGCTGACTGTATGACTCTTCCCTGCAGCTCACTAAATACAAGAAGCCCTTTTGATACTCTAATATCCTAAACATCCTCCTAGGTCTGTAATTAAGATTGCTGTTTGGACTCTTTCATATAATTCAGATTCTCTAGTTTCTTCTTGATTTATTTTATTATTCCTACCAAGTCCATGACTTCTTACCCAGCATATATAAAAACAAAAATGTTCTATGAAGAATGAGAAGTGGCACTCCAGAAAATTCAGGAATCTTAAGCCTTGCAGGAGGAAAATAAGTGTTAGATAGTAAGTTCAAAAATCAGTTTTTTTTTTTTACTGGTCAGCATGAATTGGCTAGAAGAAAAGGTTGCCAAATTGTACTTCTTTGAACAAAATTGGGACTTCTGCCTGAGGAGGAAGTAAGCCAATGAAAGAGACGCCCTGCTTACAACAACCTTAGGAGTTGGGGATCCATGAAAAGCAGATTCAGCCTTGAGTGGCAATTAAATCTGTATTGTTTAGATAATTCACATGCTTCCAGCTCTTCAGAAAGATGGCACAACTAAGGATCCAGCCATAACATGAAATGCCTACCATCAGCCACATCTGACCCAGGAAGAGATGCACATTCAATATGGTAGCACTAGCCATAGGAGGCCATTTGAAGCAAAATTAAATGAATTATAAAGTTCCTCAGTCAAAAGCCACATTTCAAGTTCAGCACAGGTAAAGAACATTCCCATCATCACAAAGATCACTGCACTGGTAGAAAGACCCTAAGAACTTACAGAGAAACAAAGGAGCTTGTATTCACTGCCACTCCCTGCTCTACAATTATGGAACTTCTTTTCCCTTTATAAATGGCCCCTATAAAATGATTTGCTGGAAAAAAATGTGTATTTTTTTTCAGTAGAATTTCTGGAACATGGAGGAATGGAGCTGGTTTGGAAGCCTTGCTGAATTAACTGGCTTTGTAGGCCCCCACCTCACGTGCAAGTGCAGGTTAGGCTTCCTGCTTTCCCAAGAGGCCAAGAGTACAGATTATGATGTCAATATCAATATATGATATATGGATGGCAAGAAAGGACGAGAGCAGAGGAAAATTGCAAAATGCAACAGGACAGTCAATTCTACGTTTGCAGAATCCCTACAGCAAAAAGAACACAAGGATCACTGCCTGTACTGATACACTGATTACCCAATCACTTACTAGCTATGTGACCTTGGGCAAATAACCTTGATAAGCTTGGGAAAAATACCAGTGTTATACAGCGCATGGTCTGCTTAAACTGGTATTATGTACACATCTCACCCTCAGCCCAGTACTGTTGATATGAAATCTCATTTAAGTAAGTTAAATTCTCCTCTGGACACTCAAGCCTGAGTAATCCATCCCTCCTTGGTTACAAGAAGGGTCCAGGGAGAAAATATGTACTACTATTCTACCATGTCCAAGGTCAAGGAGGTGAATTCTAAAAGGCAATTCTTTCAGTTTTGGTTTTTGTATGTTTAGGGAGAAAAATCAACACGAGGTAAGATGAGAAGACTGGAGACTTTCATAAAGAATGTAATTGGCACTTATTGGGGGGAAGAAATTGGGAAAGTATATTAAGAGCCATAAAGTAGCTCACACACTAATCAAGGAATTCTGGGAATCTAGCCTTAGATTCTAAAGAACAATCCATGTTGTTAAAATTACATGGATATTCACTACAGCATTGCTTCTAACAGTGAACATTAAGAAATGCCTGAACTGTCCAATAAAAGGAAAATGGCTCAATTGTTACATAAAGATTATGAAGATGGCATAAAAGCCTTAAGACATTAAAGATGTCAAATATAAACACTATTATTTTCATTATAGAAAAAGTTTGTGTAGAAAAAACTAAAAGGAAATATAACAAAATGCCAGTAACAGGTGGATCAGTGTGGCAGGCAGGTTCCTAAGTTTTTACCCCAATATCCAGGAACATGCTTATGATTCCCTTGATTAAAAAAAAAAATTTGAATGCAATACTTGGAAAGGTAAGAGAGTGAGTCTCTGATCCTAGTGCTTAGTTGTGTGCCTACAGCTGAACCCAGCAGGGGAGTAAAGCCAGCCCCATATCCTTCCTTCACCAATCAATCACAAAGGTAGAGAGTGCTGGGAATAAGGCTGAAACCTCTTTCAGCCTGTGTGTCTTATGATGCATATGCACACACCACTGGCCCTCCCTCCCTGCTGTTTCTGGGTAATCTGGAGGCAGTGGGGACAAAGGCAGTCAGCGGTGGTGAAGGCAGGCTGGGAGCCCTTTGCTGAAGTAAAAGAAAACATGTTTGCTGCACAAGCAGTCAGATCACTGAAGTTCTGAAGCATGAACCACTATTTCTGCCTTTCTCCATGGGAACACAGGTTCCTACTTAACTCATAGGGTTGCCTGAAAGTCAAGAGGGAAGATGTACATGGATGCATTTTCTAAAGAGTATTGTATGTTGTCAGTGACTACTACTAAACAAGCACTTTGCAGTCCTCTTTTGGATCCTCCTCCCACCCTGAGGAAACACTCTGGAACATTCCCTTATGTCCCACACATTAGGAAGCCTTGACAGAAAACCATGTTTTAGACTATTTGCTATCACAGGGTCTCCAAACCCCCCAAATCTTAGTGAAAGGTTTAGTGATGACCTTTTTAAGAAACCAATGGTTATCAAATAAAGTACCCTTAATTTAATAAGACTTGAAAAGGATACAATGGCAGGAATTAGTGTATTTGGGTGGTATTTTTCTTTGCTTCTCTTGCTTTAAAAGAAATCAACCAGTTATAAAACTGAACTCTTAGACTCCTAGAATGGGAAATAAAGAGGCACTTCGCAAAATTGATTTTTTAAAAATAGTAAAAAAAACAGAATGCCTGTGAACTTTGTAAGGTGTTCTGGATTAAAATGCTCTTTGCCATCTAAGTGACTAAAATACAATTCTAAGTGACTAAGACACATTCTGAGGAGCTGGCCAGATTTGCTGGGAAGTCTCTCCTGCAGATGCACCTCATCCTTCAGAAGGGCTTCCAACTTACACGTTCTGCCTCCATTCCAATACTCTGCTGAAATATGTACTGTGACTCAGGTAAGACTCATGTGATGCCCAAGAATGTAGAATCCCCAACTGGCTGAAATATGCCAAAGGCCAAAGAATAGTAAAGAAAAAACAGCTCAGGCAAAACATGTCAAAATGATGAGACTTTATTTATTCCTATGGATTCTTTGGTGTCGGGTAAGGTGTGGACTCTGTCTAAAGCTTTCTCCACATTCATGACATTTATAAGGTTTTTCTCCAGTGTGAGTCCTCTGGTGGATAGTGAGGGTTACACTCTGACTGAAGCGTTTCCCACAGACAGAACATCCATAAGGCCTCTCCCCAGTGTGGATTCTCTGGTGTTTATAGAGATCAGAGCACCATTTGAAGCTCTTCTCACATTCTTCACATGTATAGCACTTCTCCCCTTTATGTATTCTCTGATGTCTAAAACGGTTAGAAATATGGCAGGTTTCCCCACATTTGTTACATATATAGTGTTTCTCTCCTATGTGGATTCTCTGGTGCCGATTGAGGTGTGAGCTCTGTCTGAAGCTGTCCCCACATTTGGGGCAGGTGTATGGCTTATCACCTGTATGTGTCCTCTGGTGTTTAATCAGAGCAGCACTCTGACTGAAGCTCTTCCCACATGCTTGGCACTCATAGGGCTTCTCCCCAGTGTGGGTTCTCTGGTGTTTACAAAGGTCAGAACGCTGTTTGAAACTCTTCTCACAGTTATTACATTTATAAGGCCTTTCTTCACGGAACCACCTCTGGGTCTCAAAAAGACCTGAACCATGGACATTTTCCTCATGGTCAACAAATTTGTGAGGTTTCGCCACTTGATGTTTTGCCATTTCTGAACTTTGAGTGCAACCATTCCCATTAATGGGCCTCTCTGCTATCTGGAAATGCCGACAAAGGTTGGAACCTCTGGCACGATCCTCAAGTTCATTATTTTTGGAGGTTCCCTCTTTTGTAGGACCATTCTTGGGATCTGAGATGCTGGTGAGTCCTTGCTCTTCAGGAGAATCTTCAAGTTTCAGCGGTGAGGCCTTTCCTGGCTGCTTCTCTACCCTGTCCTCACTGGCTTCACCATGCTCAGAAAATAGGGAAGCCTTCTTTTGGGGCCCCTCTTGTAGATGCCCCCATGGCTCTACTTCTAAAATTTCTTGCTTTGTAATGAACTCTTTGTTCTCAGTTCTGGTTTCCAAACCTGAAAAGTTAAAAAAAACCTGCTGACATTTCATCCCTGTGCAAGAGTGAAATAAGCAAGTGCTAGCAGAAAAACCACCCCCCAAAACCTTTATAATGTTCTCCTTCAGGTGTGCTCATATTTACCTATACAAACCCTATTTCTTTCCCTTTATACTTGTGCCTACACTCCCTTCTGCCCTCATATGCTGTATGAGTCATCATATGAGATGGCTATGAAAGGGATGTCAATAAAGGCAATATGGCCTTTGACCCATGAATGAAAGATGGTTTAACAAGAGAAGTTTAATGTGGCCTTTGACCCATGAATGAAAGATGGTTTAACAAGAGAAGTAATTGTGATGATTTGTACCAGCAGACATGTCAGGTGCCTCTGAAGGCAGAAGACAGGATGTGGGTGGGAGAGATCAATCAAGCTTTGACTGAAAGTCTTTAAAGGAACAGTCAAGCCCCTAGATTCCATCCCCCAATACAAAATTTTTGCAGTTTACTCAGGAAGGCTGAGCCAGATAAATTCCAGATTGGGGACATCAGGCACAGCTGAGAAGAGGCACAGGTACCACTTTCACATCAGGAGAATCACATGAGAGTGGGACACACTAACTTGCAGAACCTCAGCGCACTGTCTTCTGCTCAAGCCCCAAATTTAGCTCCAAAGCTTATATCCTCCAGCCAGAAAGGGCTGGCACTTTAAAGCAGGGATTTCACAGGCTTTTTTACCTAAATACATCCCCAGTACCTGGCCTATTGCAGACATTCAATAAAATATTTGTTGAATGAATCTGAATGGTAAAACTTACCAGCCCAGGCCAGAAGACCTGGGGACACTGGCATATGGGAACTCCTGTGTAATAGCACCTGATGAGCAACCTTATACTAAAGGTTACCAGTTCAAAAGTCCTACCCAAATACAGAGTTTCCAATCCAAATTGTTATGTTTGACTATTAAATACAAATGTAAAGTGAAAGGTTAACAACATTTCAAGACCTGTAACGTAAATGCTGGTGAAACATGCAATGCATGAAAAAAAAACTTACTAATCTATCATTAATACTCTGATAAATAAGAGAAGACATTGCATCCAGGAAGCAAGGAAGTTATAAGAAATATTTAAAGAAAAAGCTCTTGAAAATATTAATTAAAGCTGAAATAACTCAGCATTCAGAGTTGGAAAAATAAAGCTAACAAGATCTCCTAGAAAGAGAAACAAGTAGTAAGGAAATGGGAAGGTGAGGAAGAACATTACAGGATCAGTGCACAAGTTGCAACCTCCAAATGGACAAAATCCCAGAGAGAAAATGGGGGAAAAAAGATAAAAACTAGGTAAGTTAAAGAGTACTATAAAAAAAATGTCTCGCAACTCAAAGACGTGGGTGTGTCTGTACTACAAGGGCCAACCAACTTACTCAGAACAATTAATGGAAAAGGACCTCTGCACTAAGCCACACAAACTGTGAAATTTCATACTAGCAGGAAGAAAATATACAGAGCAAACATCATACACCAAGAATAAAATATCACAGGGGTATCAGATTTCTCAATAGTAACATGGCAAGCTAGATAGAAAATCCACTGTCTTCAAAATTCAAAGGGGAAAATAATTTCTAAAGGAGAATACAGCCATACTATGATTCTAATCTCAGAGAGGAATAAAGGCATTTTCAGACACGCAAACTTTCACAACATTTAGCTCCCAAGTGTATGTCCGGAAGATATTGGAAGTCATTTTCCATCAAATTGAGAGGGGAAACCAAGAAAGAAAATGGCATGGGACCCAGAGAAGAGAAAAGGAATTTCCAGGATGATACATGCTTGGAGAAGCATTTACAGTGGAGCAGAGGAAACCCAGGAGGATTTCTCCAAGGGCAAAATGAAACAGACAGCACAGTGGACATAATCTGAACACACTGAGAGGAATTTTACATTTCTAACAGAGTTTTTGGGTGAAATCAGTGCTCAGTAGTTAGAAAAGTAGGCACATGCCAAATAAGGCACTATTAATTCCAGGGAAACTAAATGCTGTAAAATAAAAGACATACAATCAAATAGATTATGTGGGTGAATGCAGGTGATATTTATATAGGCAGAATACTGAAATGTATTAAGGAACAGAATTACAGACTAATAAGTGCATGCATTTTGGGGGCAGAGAATCCTTCTCTTCCTCAGTAGGCAGTCAAGAGATAATAACTGAAACTGGAGGAGAAAACTGCAGAATATGCATCTTATTTGGAAATACGAAAATGAATACCAATGGAAAAAGTTAAAATTTTTAATTTATTCTGTGAGGAATCAGGATTGAGAATGGTCTGATATTTTCTAAGGAGACTGGAAAAACAAATTACAAGGTAAATGAAAAATTTGACTTAAAAATCTTTAATTCTATATAACTAAAGATGCCATGGTGAAAAAAGAAGCCATCTATATAACAAATAAAGTAATAGGATTACTGTAAAAAATAGGAACTGCTAGGATAAAGATGGTGGTGTGAGAGATGAGACAGAGGCTTCCTCATAAAATCGCATATAATACTAACATAGAATTAATACAACTAATCCTGAAAGAGCAACAGGAAAGAAGGCTGTGCCAGACGGCATACACCTGGAGAACAGAACAGACTTCACAGAACAAGGTAATGTAAAAAACCCGTGATCCAGTGGATGAAGCCCTTCCCTGACCCCAGCTCACTGGCAGGAGGAAGAGAAATGGAGCAGGGAGGGAGGGGAAGACTGGGACTGTGGAACATCTAGCTCTGGAGATCTGGTCTGGGAGCACAAACCTACATTGCATGGTGCTCTGGTGAACAGGGAGGTTGGAAAGCTAAGACAGGCAGAAAAAATGGAGAGATTGAGACTCCAGCCACTTGTAGAAAACAGGGATCCATATCCGGCTGCTCTGGGACAAAAGAAAGGTGGGCAGTCTGAGAGACTTCCTAACAGTGAGAGGGCTGCTAAAGGGGCAAGGATTGCACAGAGCTTACTGCTCAGGAGAAAGGACAAGTAGACAAAATTGTCTGGTTGCACTCTGCTCAGCAGGTTGGGAACTTTCATGACCTTTAGGTGCTCCAGCCCCCTGGTTGGCTACACAGGTTCAAGTCTCCACACTGTGATATGCAGCCTGCTGAGCCTTCCTCTTGACCAGCCCACATGTGGACTGCAAACCGGCAAGCCCTGCCCTGGTGCCAGGCCAGCCAGAGGGAAGCCCCACCTATAGCAGCTACAAATGCAAAGCACAGAGGCTTATACCTGTGCGCTTGGCCCACTGGTTCTGGCAGGGGAGACAGGCATAGCAGCTGGGAAGCAGGAAACAGCTCTTTCCTCCCCCCAGGTGCCAACACTGCTCCCCTGCAACCCCTGGTATTGCTCCAGGGTCTGAGCAGCTCCAGAGAGTAGAGCTTCTGGGCACCAGAGGGCACCACATACAAATATGAAATGTCAAAGGAACCTGGTTCAAAGCAAAATCATGCATACACCAAGAGTCAAATGAAACCAATCTCATGAATCTTCCTGAAAGAATAAAAATCATAAACATGTTCATGGAGGTATAGAAAAATATGCAAGAACTCAGGAATGAATTCCATTCGGAGATCCAATCATTACAGAACACAGTATCAGAAGTGAAATAGACAATGGAAGGTTTTAAACATACAATGGATACGGTGGAGGAGACAATAAATAAAACAGAAATTAGAGGAGAGTAATACAAAGCTGCTGAGGTAGAGAGAAAAAAGGATCTAAAAGAAAGAATATTGAGAGAACTGTGTTACCAATCCAAACGGAACAATATTCATATTATGGGGGTACCAGAAGAAGAAGAAGAGAGAAAAAGGGATAGAAAGTGTCTTTGAGGAGGTAACTGCTGAAAACTTCCCCAATCTGGGGAAGGAGAGTCTCTCAGGTCATGGAGGTGCACAGATCTCCCAACACATGGGACCCAAGAAAGATAACACCAAGACATATAATAATTAAAATGGTAAAGATCAAGGATAAACCCAGGCTATTAAAATGCAGCCAGTGACAGAAATAAGATCACATACAAAGGAAAGCCTATCAGGCTATCATCAGACTTCTCAGCAGAAACCTTACAGGCCAGAAGGGAGTGGCATGATGTATTTAATGCAATGAAGCAGAAGGGCCTCGAACCAAGAATACTTTATCTGGCAAGATTATCATTTAAATTTGAAGGAGGAATTAAACAATTTCCAGATAAGCAAAAGCTGAGAGAATTTACCTCCCACAAACTATATAGTGTATTTTGGAGGGACTACTGTAGATGGAAGTGTTCCTAAGTTTTAATAGTAATAAAACCACAGTAAAGAAAGTAGAACAGTTAATTACTAAGCAAATGCAAAATTACATCAAATTCCCTCAAAGTCAGTCAAGAGATAGACAGAGTACAGAATATGATACCTAATATATAAAGAATGGAAGAGGAAGAAAATGGAGGAGAAAAAAGAACCTTTAGATTATGTTTGTAATAAAATACTAAGTGAATTAAATTTGGCTCTGAGATAGTAAGGCAATTACCATTGAACGTTTGGTAACCATGAATCTAAAGTCTGCAATGGCAGTAAGTACATACCTATTGATAATCACCCTAAATGTAAATGGTCTGTATGCACCAATCAAAAGACAGAGTCACTGAATGGATAAAAAAACAAGACCCACCTATATGCTGCCTACAAGAGACTCACTTCAAACCCAAAGATATACACAGACTAAAAGTGAAGGGATGGAAAAAGATATTTCATGCAATTAATAGGGAGGAAAAAGAAGGATTTGCAGTACTTCTACCAGACAAAATAGGCTTCAAACCAAAGAAAGTTACAAGAGCCAAAGAAGGATATTATGTAATGATAAAGGGGTTAATCTAACAAGATTTAATGAGTATAAATATGTATGCACCCAACACAGGAGCACCTACATATGTGAAACAAATACTAACAGAATTAAAAGGGGAAATAGAATGCAATGCATTCATTCTAGGACAATGAACTACAACACTCTACTCACTACAAATGACAAATCAACCAGACAGAAAATAAGTAAGGAGACAGAGGCACTGAACAACACACCAGAACAGATGGACCTAACAGACATCTACAGAACTCTAACAGAAAAGCAGCAGAATACACATTCTTCTCAAGTGCACATGGAACATTTTCAAGAATAGATCATATACTAGGCTACAAAAAGAGCCTTGGTAAATTAAAAAAGATTGCAATTGTATCAACCAGTTTCTCAGACCACAAAGGTATGAAACTAGAAATTACACAAAGAAAATGAAAAATCCCACAACATATGGAGGCTTCACAACATGCTCCTAAATAACCAATGGATCAATGACCAAATAGAAAGAGATTAAGCAATATATTGAGACAAATGACAACAATAATGTAACACTCCAAAATCTGTGGGACGCAGCAAAGGCTGTGCTAAGAGGGAAGTATATTGCAACACAGGCCTACCTCAGGAAAGAACAACAATCCCATATGAACAGTCCTGTACTCTGAAAACTACAAGACACTCATGAGAGAAATTAAAGAAGATACCAACAAATGGAAACACATCCCCAAGCTCACGTATAGGAAGAATTAATATTGTCAAAATGGCCATCCTGCCTAAAGCAATCTACAGATTCAATGGAATTCCTATCAAAACACCAACAGCATTCTTCAACAACCTACAGTGAATCGTTCTAAAATTCATGTGGAACCACAAAAGACCCAAATAGCCAAAGCAATCCTGAGAAGGAAGAATAAAGCTGGGAGGATTATGCTCCCCAACTTGAAGCTCCACTACAAACCCACAGTAATCAAGATAATTTGATAATGGCACAAGAAGAGAATAGACCAATGGTACAGACTAGAGAGTCCAGATATAAACCCAACCATATATGGTTGAATGTACGATATTATTGAATATATGATATTGGTCGAATATACGATAAAGGAGCTATGGACATACAATGGGGAAATGATAGCCTCTTCAACAGCTGCTGTTGGCAAAACTGGACAGCTACATGCAAGAGAATGAAACTGGATTACTGTTTAACCCCATACACAAAAGTAAACTCGAAATGGATCGAAGACCTGAATGTAAGTCATAAAACCATAAAACTCTCAGAAGACAACATAGGCAAAAATCTCCTGAATATAAACATGAGCAACTTCTTCCTGAACACATCTCCTCAAGCAAGGGAAACAAAATAAAAATTGAACAAGTGGGACTACATCGAACTAAAAAGCTCCTGTATGGCAAAGGACACTATCAACAGAACATAAAGGCATTCTACAGTACGGGAGAATATATTTGTAAATGACATGCGACAAAGGGTTAACAAAAAATAAAGAACTCACATGCCTCAACACCCAAAAAGCAAATAACCCAATTAAAAAATGGGCAGAGGATATGAAGAGACAATTCTCCAAAGAAATTCAGATTGCCAACAGGCACATGAAAAGATGCTCCACATCACTAATTATCAGGGAAATGCAAATTAAAACCACAATGAGATATCACCTCACACTAGTTAGGATGGCCAGCATGGAAGAGATTGAGAACAACAAATACTGGTGAGGATGCAGAGAAAGGGGAACCCTCCTACACCGCTGGTGGGAATGTAAGCTGGTTCAATCATGTGGAAAGCAGTATGGAGGGTCCTCAAAAAACTAAAAATAGAAATACCATTTCACCTGGCAATCCCCCTCCTAGGAATTTACCCAAAGAATACAAGTTCTCAGATTCAAAAGGACATATGCACCCCTATGTTTATTGCACTATTTACAATAGCCAAGATATGGAAGCAACCTAAGTGTCCATCAGTAGATGAATGGATAAAGATGTGGTACATATACACAATGGAATATTATTCAGCCATAAGAAAGTAACAAATCTTACCACTTGCAACAACATGGATGGGGCTGGAGGATATTACGCTCAGTGAAATAAGTCATGCAGAGAAAGACAAGTGCCAAATGATTTCCCTCATTTGTGGAATACAATGAAGCAAAACTGAAGGAACAAAACAGCAGCAGACTCACAGACTCCAAGAAGGGACTAGCAGTTACCAAAGGGGAGGAATGTGGGAGGGAGGGAGAAGGGGATTCAGGGGTATTATGATTAGTACACATGGTGTAGGGAGGTCACGGGGAAGACAGTATAGCACAGAGAAGGCAAAGAGTGAATCTGTTGGCATCTTACTACACTGATGGACAGTGACTGTGATGGGATATGGGTGGGGACTTGATAATATGGGTGAATGTAGTAACCATATTGTTTTTCATGTGAACCATTCATAAGAGTGTATATCAATAATACCTTAATAAAAAAAATAAGGAACTACCACAAAGTAATTTAGAAAAAGGTAATGGAGGGGATAAGGGGAGTAGTGACATGAATAGACAATCCACAGGAGAGGGAACTAGAACACCCAAAAAAAAATTGCCTGAAAAACTGTTTGGCCCTGGAGAAATGAGGGAAATGCAAGTTAAAATAAGGCACCCACCATTCATGAATTACTCCAACTAGTACTTATTGAATAACTATTGTGTGCCAGGCACTATTCCAGGTGCTTGGGATAGATTAATGAACAAAACAGACAAAATCCCTCCATTTGTGGAGTTTACATTCTAGAAGACAGACAGTAAGTAAACAAAGTAAACTACACAGGATGAGAGAGGGTCATAGAAACTGTGGACCATGTCGGGTGAGGTAAGGGATCGGGCAACAGCGTGGGAAGTGAACTGCAGTGTTAAACATGCTTCTCAGGTCGGGCCTTACTGAAAAGTGAGATTTGAGCCATGACCTGAAACAAGTCAGGGAGTCTGCCTAGTGGAAATCTGGGGGGAAAATATTCCAGGCAGAGGGGTCAGTTAGAGCAAAGAGTATGAGACAGTGTGCCCACCATGTTCAAGGAGCAGCAAGGCCAGTGGAGTTGAAGAATGAGGGGAATAGGAGGAGATGGATAGGCAAGGTAACACAGCCACAACATGGGTGTAAAGGTCAATGGCTTTTATCTATTGATGTAAGGATAAAATGAAATGAGGAGCTACTGCAGGTTCTGAGCAGGGGCATGACCAAAACCTAACATGTTAAAGGGAACACTTGTGTGACTGTGTTAAGGCATCATGCGATCAGCTTGACTCCAAATGTTGCAAAGGATGTGGAAGAAGAATCCTTACATTCTGCCGGTAGGAGTAGATTGGGTTCAGTCCTTTTGTACAGCAAGATAGTCAAATAGTCACAAACATATTCCCTCAGAAACTCCTACATATGATCACAGGGAGAAAGGTACAAAATTGTTCAGGTAATAAGAAATGATGAAAAATTTGAAGTGTTAATGTCTATTGGCAGGAGAATGGATAAATGACTTTTGGAACATTCACACAATGCAATCTATAGGTGTGAATGAACTACAGCTACATGTATCCACATGGCTAAATCTTGCAAATGGCGATGTTGAGAAAAAAGGCATTGCAAAGGAATCACAGTAGTATGATTTACGTGCCATTAGAACACATAATGCTATATATCTTTACATGTTTATGTACTTACATGTTTCGATACACATTTATACATAGAGTATGTGTATGTATGTAGCTAAGTGTAGATGTAGAAAGAATATAAAACAAATGGTTTCAACAGCATGGATGGAGCTAGAGGTTATTAAGCTCGGTGAAATAAGTCAGGCAGAGAAAGACAAATACCAAATCATTTCCCTCATTTGTGGAGTGTAACAATGAAACAAAACTTAAGGAACAAATTGCATCAGATTCAGAGACTCCAAGAAGGGATTAGCAGTTACTAAAGTGGAGTGGTGGGGGAGGGAGGGAGAAGGGGATTGTGGGGTATCATGATTAGTACATATGGTGTGTGGGGTCACAGGGAAGACAGTGCAGCACAGAGAAGACAAGTATGGACTCTGTGGAATCTTACTACACTGACGGACAGTGAGTGCGATGGGGTGTGGGGGGGGGACTTGATAATAAGAGTGAATGTAGTAACCAGATTGTTTCTCTTGTGAAACCTTCATAACAGTGTATATCAATGATACCTTAATAAGAAAATATGAACTCACTACTTGAAAACAAACAAACAAACAAATAAAACACAGACAGAGACTAATAATATAACCAGGATAGTGGTTATGCTGGAGAAGGAGCATGGGGAAGAGCTTTCAGAGAGGGTTGTCCAGGGCTTCACCTATAGCTATAAATTACTCTTTCTTTAAAAAAAAAGGAAAACAATACGGCCAAATATTAAAATGTGATAAACCTGGGTGATAAATACACAGGTGCCCGTTATGTTTTTCTGTATGTGTTTTATTAAAAATGAACCAAAATAAAAAGGACAACCTACTATTTCTGGGTGATAGGATAGCTTGGCTTACACAAGAGACCCTAGGGTCTCAAACTATGACTATGAATGGCAGACTGGCTGAAGCCAGCCCTTCGCACATCACACACCACTGGGAACAAGCACAACCCCCGCACTTACTCCGTGACACTGCGTTCCCACAGTCCTTTGGCACACTCTCCCTGCAGAAGTCCCTCTGAGCAGGGTCCAGACGCTCCCATTCCTCCCAGGTTAGAGACACGGCCACATCCTTGACTCCCACCAACCCCTGAAACAACATGGTACCTCCAGTTAGCACCTGCAGTCCCAGGACAGCATACCTGCTCATCTCAGGATGAGGCCAGACCCCAGACAGGAGTCCGCAAGCCCCAAGGAGAGAGCACTGAGAAACAATCACAATTCTCAATCATGAGTAAGAACCATGGCTGTTGAGTCTTTACCAGTGAGTCCTGTCTGGGGAGTTTCAAAGTGGCCAAAGATGGAGGCTGATGTTCTTTTGGAACCCTGAAAGCCTTATTGTGGACTGTCTACACTGATTTGGGGTCAGAGTAAAATGTTGTCATATCACTGTTATTTATCAAAATGGAAACCTGACAGGGATTAAAAATATAAAGTCCTGAGTTCAACACTGGCTCTGAGACAGTGTCCTCATGTTAGAAATAGAAATCTCTATCTTAATGAGATGAGGCCCCTTACTGCCAGCTGGGGCTCAGTAAAATTTCCTTTGCCTTCTCTTGACCATTGCACTATAATTATCCGACAAGACGAGCTTTTGAGATGTTTTATTTAAATGGATGTTGACCATTCACAGAAGGGGAATGTTAGGGAAGGTTCTAGTACTGGTGCAGGGAGTGGCTGTCTAGTTTCCATTGATGGGTCACAAATGGATTCCAAGGATCTCTCACTCAATGACAAAGAAGGGGAATGTATTTGTTAACTTTGTTATGTTTGGGGATATTGTGGGTAAAACTGTTAACATTTCCAGAATATCTCATCTGGCTTTAGTACATCTGCATATCAAGAGGCGTTCAGAGGTGGAAAGAAGCATGACTTTAGTATATTTGCATCTTTCCTCAGGGGTGGAGAGAAGTCATCTCCATATCAATAGGTAATTACCTGGGCAATGGAGGGCTTATCGGTACCTGAGAGGTGAGGGGGAGGGCCGGTTTTGCTGCTTGCTGGAGCAGGAGAGAGAGATGGGCTGGACTGCAATTTTGTAAGCAATAAATGGTTTTTAAACTTTATTTCTCCCTTTGACTGATTTCGGTTTTTAGAGGTATTTTGCCCCGGGATTTCCTCTCCCAGGACTAACAGATATTTTGTGTTTTGACATCTTTTAAAAAAACCTTTCTGGATGGGGAATGCACCCCCTGTCCGGGCTCTGCAATCCTTAGAGCAAAGGGCTCAGCAAGACTCAATAATCCAGAGCCACACCTCTTCAGTCGGCCCATACACCCCAGAAGGCAACATTTCTCTGCCTTAACCATCCATGGCCAGGCAATAGGCAAGTAGACACCATCACTATAATGTACAGCCACTGAAATGATTCAAACAAGCCAACCCTAAACTGTTCACCCTGCCCTGCCTTACCCTCCAAAACCCCACTACAGGCTCTGACCTAAACTTGCCCCCATCTCCTGTCATCTGCCTCCTGCCCACCTGGGTGTCTTTCCCATGAGGCTCTGTGTGCCTTCTGTCTTTGCACCTGAGACAAAAAATACATTTTGCTCTTTCCTGAGTACCTCCCGTCTCCTTGTAAAGGAAAACCACACTCCTGTGTGGCTCCTCTACTCTCAGTAAATCTGAGTACATCACTGTAACACTTCTTCACTTTTGACACCATATGAGTCTGTTTCCCCATGTCTGTGACACCGTATGGACAACCTAAAGTTTAGCTAAATTCTGACACTACCACCTGGAGATGGAATCAGATCCCACAGGTTAAGGGCTCAGTTCTACAAGACTGCCTACTTCCCAATTTCAGATGCCAGTCACAAGTCCATGTTGTCATCTGTGGATGTGCTTCTGCCTAAGTGTCTCTAGATCAGACGTTCCTGTGATCCCCTTTTTGGGAATTCGCTAAAACAGCTCTAGAATTCAGGCAAACAGCTTACTTACTACATTACTAGCCTATTATAAAAGGATATGTCAAGTACAGCCAGATGGAAGAGCTGCATAAGGTGGGGTCTGTCAAAGTCAGGAGCTCAGGTGCTTCTGTCCCCATGGAGTTGGGGTGCCTCACTCTCCTAACTCCTAAGGTGGATGTGTTTACCCATCTGTCTGAACACCAGACTATTGGGATTTCTATGTAGGCTTCATCATGTAGGCACGATCAATTATTAACTCCATTTCCATCTCCTCTCTGCTCTCTGGAGTACCATTATCAATTGCGGGACTACGGGGTCTCCAACCAACCCTTAGGAAGTAAAAACAGATCTTAATATTAAAAATAGCAGGAATCGCTGTTCTACATAAGCACTTAACGATATGGGGCCATTTTCCATCATCATATTTTTCTTTCTCAAAAGTCTTGCTAGACAAGAGGATGTCTTAACAATGGGTAAACAGTACTCCAGTGTTGGTTTTGTGCTGCGAGGTCTATAACTCAAGGATCACTTCCTGAAAGGATTTATCAGTTTCTCAAAGTAAAGAAACTTTCATGCACATCCTACAGTTTACACGAACTGTGATACAGAGGGAAAGGCGGTGTGAAACTTAGTGTCCTATACACCTCCATTCTCCACACTCCCATCACCAGAACAGTTTCTCTGCTCACCTGCGGGGACGTCCCACCAAGCGCTCTCTGAAGAGCGCTCACCGCGGCGGCAGCCTCCTCCCCACTGCCCGGGCAGTGTTTCCGCACCCAGGCCTGCAGCTCCTGAGGCAGGATGGTCAGGAATTGCTCCAGCACCAACAGGTCCAGGATCTGCTCCTTCGAGCGCACCTCAGGCCTCAGCCACCGACGACAAAGTTCCCTGAGCCGGCTGAGCGCCTCTTCCGGGCCAGCCACCTCCTGGTAACGGAACCGCCTAAAATGCTGTCGAGAAATTTCGGGATCCTGACTGTGTCTGGGCGGGTCCCACTCTCGACCTCCGAGTGAATCTTCCTCCACTTTCACTATCAAAAGTCCATCACGCTGGGGCGGCCCGGCGACCTTGGAGCTCGCAGCTATCATCCGGGCTCCGACTTCAGCATCACTGGCTGGACTTGCCGGCCAGGGCGAACTCATCTTTCCCCAGCACGTACTGACTTAGCCGGAGTTCTGCCTTCAGGTGAGTAGACAGCAGCCGAGCCTACAAAAAGCCGCGGAGTTCACTGAACCTCTCTAGAAGAGCGGCTCACAACCGTCTCGGCCAAAGAGGGCCCCACCCTGCTCGGCCCCTCCAAGACTCCTCCCACCCGCAGCTAGTCTACCGGGAACCGCTCCATCCCCGTGATAAAATACACAAACCACCAAGGCCGGAAGTGCGTCACCTCGCTGGGTGCCTACCTCTTCCAGGCATTTACGGGGTCACTCTAGGCGCCCCGGAGGAGTGAGCTGCATCTCGGTGGTTTGCCGTCCTCGCCCATTCCAGAGGTCCGCTGTGTTGGGTGGGTATCTTTCCTGGTAGAGCTTACAGCCCTTCAGCATACAAAACTAAAGGATTCTCTTTTACAACTTGAATGCCATTTTTTAACCCATTGTCCGTGAATAAAATTTTGTAAATTTTAAATTAACAGTGGTGGGTAAAATTGTAACATTTTCAGAATCTCTCGCCTGGCTTTAGTACATCTGCATATCAGTAGGCTTTCAGAGGAGGTGGAAAGAAAAATGGTTTTAGTACATTTGCACCATTCCTCAGGGGTGAAGAGAAGTTCCTATCAACAGTCCATCCACGTGGTATTCATTTTTAAAGACTGGCATTATCTTGTACACGTAAAGCCACACTACTTGATACTATATAGTAAGACATAGTCCCTGTCCTCAGTTGCACACAGCGATACAGATACAGAACAGTGTGGTAAATGGAATACTTCGGAGTGTAGCCTATTGTAAGTCTGGGGAGAGGAAATCATGGGGCAAAATGCCTCTAAAAATCAAAATCAGTCAAAGGGAGAAATAAAGTTTAAAATCTGTTTATTGCTTAGAAAACTGCAGTCCGGGCCATCACTCTCTCCTGCTCCAGCAGAAGCAAAACTGGCCCTCCCCCTCACCTCTCAGGTACAGATGAGCCTTCCGTTGCCCAGGTAACCACCCACTGATATGGAGATGACCTTCACCCCTGAGGAAAGATGCAAATGCACTAAAGCCATGCTTCTTTCCACCTATGAACGCCTGCTGATATGCAGATATACCAAAGCCAGGCGAGATATTCTGGAAATACTACAATTTTACCCAAAGGCCACCCCTCCAGAAATCTCGCCTTACAATGTTCTCGTTCCCCCTCTTCCAACAACTAATGACATACAATAGCAACAGCAATAAAATCTTGATAATCCTCAAGCCAGAGGATTCAGCCTACGCAGATTAAGTAAATGTACTTTACACCACAATCTCTCACTAAGCACAAAATATGTTTCTACAACTTGTTCACTCATTCCTAACAACCATGCTAGATTGCTAACAAAACTTTTACCAAACATTAGACAAAGTCAAGCCTCTCTATAAGCATTTTTTTTACAACAACACAATCATGATAATTCTCAAGCCAGAGGATTCAGCTAGGTTCAAAGTCCCATGCAGATTAAGTCCAAAGCATGTCCCTTCCAGCCATCACGCAGCAGCTGCAGCCAGGGGTCACATCCCCGACACAAGGACTGTAGAAGTGAATAATCGTGATTGTGGGGGGCCACAGGAGACCGGCTTCCAGGCCTTTTCCCCAAGGTGGCAGAAGAGCCAACCATTGCCAAGCCATGTGTTGAAATGTCCAGGGCCATGTCTATTTTACTCCTAATTGCTGCAACAATCCTTGCAACACATGTCCAATAAAGTGGGTACCTTGATTGTTCTCAGTCACTGGCGACTGGCCATAGGCTGCAAAGAGACGCTCTAGGCCCCTCTTGGTGGTTTGCTGATTTGCACAACGTACAGGGCACTCTTTCCAGGCTTGGCTGACTTCTTTAAAGGTGAAAGGCAAGCCACACTGATGGGCCCACATTGTCTTTTGCCCCACATGCAACAAACACTGATGTAGCCATTAGGCCACAGCAGAGGCAGGCTTTCCTTAAGCCAGCACACCTGGGCCAATGTGTCTGCTTCATCATTCCCCAGGGATGCCAAAGGCAAGTGGCCACTCATATGATATACGGTAGGTATCTGTGCCATACCACTCTGTGGCCTTTGGGTCCAGTCTCACACCCACCCCGTGCTGGGATAGTTAGTTATTACCTTGGTTGGAGCTATTCTGGCGATGGGTTCCGTAGCCAGCAAGGCGTGGTACATAGCAGCCAGTTGCTTATCCATGAGGGTGACCTGGACCTCTGCTCCTTTCCATAGTTGTGGCCAGGCTCTGGTCAGCAGCAGGAGCAGCAACAGTGGCAGAAGTAGTAGCCTTATGCTCAGGTGACGGGCCGAGGTTGGTGCAGTCAGCGGCAGTGGTGGCGCTGCCACAACCACATTAGTGTAGTCACATGCCCATTGGCACGAGCGCCACTTCTCCCCATCATTTCTTGGGGCAGCCCTCCCAATGGTCGCACCCATTATAACAGATTTTGGGTTCAGAGGAACCCTGCCAACTGCAATCAAGGGCCGTCTTTCTCCTCAGCTCTGGAAGAAGCAAGCCAGTAAGCCAGCCCCCTCCCCTTAACCTCATAGGTTCAGCCACGCCCTTGGTTGCCCATGTAATTACCCACTGATACAGAGATGAACTTCTCTCCACCCCTGAGGATATGCAAATGCACTAAAACCAGGCAAGATATACTGGAAATGTTACAATTTTACCCACAAAGGTGTTCACTGAACTTTTGTTACATGAATTAACATTATACGAATGAAAAAAAAAAAGACAATGGAACAATACCATTCACTTCTTTGGGAAAACAGTTCTTAACCATAAAATCGACCCAGCTTAATCATCCTTCAATAATTTAAGTTAAAAAATTTTTTTTCCCAGAAAAGACTAGGAGAATTTCTCATAAATCCTTTTAAACAAATTGGATGTACTCCTTTTTGGAAGAAACAACTAGAATCCACAATGAAGTGGTAGGTTGCAAGAAATGATGGGAGCAGACACAGAATTCCAAATAAGCATGGACTTTAAAAAGACTAATTCTGGTATTGAAAACAAAATACTGGAAATCAGTAACTTGTAAGATGTTGTGTTTGTTTTTGTTTTCTGTTTTTGGGTCTGTCTTAACAAACTGACACAAACTGGATGACCTAAAACAACAGAGGTTTCATCTCTCACAGTTCTGCAGGCTTGATACCCATAAATCAAGGAGTCAGCAGGCTTGGTTCCCCCTGGAGGTTCTGAGGAAAAACCCATTCCTTGCCCCTCTCCCAGCTTCTGGTAGCTGCTGGCGTTCCCTGGCATTCCTTGGCTTGCTACGGATTCATTCCAGTCTCTGCCTGCATCTCTACATGCCTGTCCTTCTGTTTCCATGTTTCAAATCCCCCTGTTCCTTTCTCTGCTAAGGATACCTGTCACAGGATGGAGGGCCCACCATAAACCCAGAATGATCACATCTCTAGATCCTTAATTACATCTCCAAAGACCCTTTTCCAAACGAGGTCATATCCCATGTCACAGGGGTTAAGACTTGGACATGATTTTGGGGGCCACTATTCAACCTACTACAGATGGTGAGAGAGTCATTGCAGTGCTAAGGTCCTTGCTTTGCCTGGGATTCATTTTCAACATTGTTAAAACAAACATGCATGCTGAAAATTGAGTAACAACTTTTAAACTATCTGAAATAGAGTTACTATTTAAAAGTTGGGAGAAAGAATAGGATAGTTCTATCAACTTAACAGAAGACAGAATAAAAAAAGGCAATCAAAGAAAAAGCAATGTACATATATAAAGTACAAAACAGTATAAATAAATAATACAAATATATCAATAATTACAGTAAATGAAAATAGACTAACTTGCCAATTGAATAGCAGACATAAGGTGATTATGTGCTATTAATACTATTTAGCCATATGCTATTTACAAGAGGCACACCTGAAAATATAAAGATTAAGAAAGGCAAAATATAAAGGGATGAGATAAAAACATTCCAGGCAGAGGAGCCAAGATGGCAGCATGAGTACGGCAACAGAAATCTCCTCTCAAAATCATATATATTTTTGAAAATACAACAAATACAACTATTCTTAAAAGAGAGACCAGAAGATATAGTACAACAGGAAGGCTACATCTACACCTGCGAGAACACAGCATCTCGCAAAGTGGGTAAGAAACAAGCCGTAGCATGGCGGGACCCGAGTGTGACCCCCACCCCAGCTCCCCAGCAGGAGAGGAGTCAGAGTGGGGAGGAAGTGGGAGCCAAGAAGGCTAAATACCCAGCCCTAGTCATCCGCACCAGGAGCACAGACACACAGTGCACAGTGTACTGAATATGAGGGAAATGCAACAGTAAAACCTGCGAGCTGGTTCCCACAGCTGGTGACCCTGAGAAAAAAGAAAAGCGAGTGCTTTTTGAAAGTCGTACAGGGGCAGGAGCCTCACAGCTGGAGGAAGCAATCCGGCACACACAGCCCAGAAGCTGTGAATGCCAGGGAACTCTGGGCATCTTAACCTCCTGGGTGGCAGTGCAGCTCTGAGGCCCCTAATGGTGATAAACAGCCTCCCACCTGTTCCAACTCTGGCATGGACCCACCATAGCAGAGCAGCAGCATGAGTGGCCATGCCCACAGGAGACACGCAGGGCTTCCTCCACAGTGGCCTGGGTAAGAATCAGAGACCCTGTCTGCATGTAGCTGCCCAGCACAAGCGGCTAGTGGTTCCTGATCTCACAGGAGAGGAAGGCAATGAGCAAGTGGGAAGGGACTTTGTTCTCCCACTGGACACATATGACAATGGCCCACGACTACCTCTATCACCATGAAAAGACAGAAGAATTTCATTCAGACCAGAATCAAACAGACATCCCCAGAGATGGAACCTGGGGAGATAGCTTTAATAAATCTTCTTGGAAAAGAATTCAAAATAAAGGTCATAACCATACTGATGGAGTGGCAGAGAAAAATGCAAGAGCTAATGGATAAAGTCACGAGGGAGAACACAGAAATAAAACAATTTCTGGAAGGACTTAGAAGCAGAATGGACAAGGTGCAAGAGGCTGTTAATGGAATAGAAATCAGAGAACAGGAACACAGAGAAGCTGATGCAGAGGATCTCCATGAATGAAAGAATATTAAGAGAACTGTGTGACCAATCCAAATGGAACAATATCCACATTGTTGGGGTACCAGAAGAAAAAAAGAGAGAAAAAGGGTTAGAAAGTGTCTTTGAAGAAA